GTTGTTTTCAGTTGGTTTTACACTTCTGATATCCTAAGTTTCTCTTCTCTTCTTCTCCCATCTTTTGACATATTAGTGCCCTTTCCATTCTGATATAATACATTTTATCAAAAAGGAATTGTATTCCCCTGCATATTTTTACTTCATCTGATACTTTCTTGCTGCTACTACCACATAAAGATATTTTATTTGGACCTGTTAAGTAATACCCAGTATCTCAAATGTTTTCCATGATTTCATGGAAATCACATTTTGTTTTATTTTCATAACTGTACTCAAAGGGTATCATGCATGCGAGAGGGGCAGAAGGATGTTGTTCTCTTTGCACTGTTACTGGAGAAATGCCCAGACAAAGAGATTCTTAGGCTAAACATTACAGCTGGTAAATTAGGATAGGAATGAATGTTTATTCATGTTATAAAGAAATTATCTGTAGAAATAACAGTAATGGGGACAGAATGCATACATATCTACTAGGGTGGCAATATAATACTACGCAAAAGCTTGTATAATATTTCCTGTCTTGACACTTGATAAAAACAAGTTATATGAAAGTAAGTTTGCCAGGTACTAACCGTACTTTCTAAAGTTTAAATATTGAATGTTTCATCATTATTTCTTATGTAAAAATCTCATGGTCCTCCTTCACTCCTTTTGACTGTTAATCATCCACTGTGATTATTTAGTGGTACAGATTTTCCTTTTGCCGTTAAAATTTTCCATACTTGAGAACATATTTAGTGTTCCTTGACAATTCATTTTGTATTTTTCTTTGGTGCTATTCTTTTCTGTTTCTCTTTGTTGTCTCTCTCTCTTCTGTTTGCTTTTCTTTTGCCTTTAAGTCTTTGTCTCATTTTAATCTGCAAGATGATTACCACACTAAACTGCTTATCTCCTGAATGTTGAACATCTGACACAAAGGGGTGCAAGCAAATAGTTTGGCTAGCTCCCAGTCCGATAGCTAACAATTCCATCCTTACTATTAGCCAACAACATCTATTCCCCATTTGGAGAAATTAATGTAGCTACCTTCAACTGTGCCTCCATTTCCCTAGTAAAATAAGGTTGTTGGGTTACTTTGATGAGGATGTGGTTAGGCTTCTCCATCAGTCATCTACATGGATCAGCCACTTCTGTATATTTCAAAACTGTTGTTTCAAGATACTCATTGACATCAGTTGTGTATCCAGCCTTTTTTTCTGTATCCAGCTCCTTCCCTTGTCGCAGCCAGGGAGAGACTGATCCTGTTAACCCCAGCCCTGAACTTATATGCTCCCTTGGTCCTGCCTGCATCAGGTCATCTGACTGCCTGTAGGTGTTGACTAATTATCCCATTAGCCCATTGCCCTGATGACCTGCAGCTGTGGTGCCCTGCCTACCTGCAGAGCTCCCTAGCTGGGCTGCCTCTCCTCTCAACATACCAGAGAGCCCAGGCTCTTTGTTACACTCCTAAGTCTACTTCTAATTTCAAGTTATGAGAGAAGCAGACCTCTTATGGAATGAGTTCCTGCACTGGATGCTTGACTCAAGGAGGCTACAGCAGATGGCTTGGCTGTTTTATCTTCAAGTGATAACCAAGTTCCCAGATATTAATATTTTCCTCCCAAACATGTTGGCTACCCATTTGGAAAAGCGTACCTCACTTGTTTTGAACATTTAGGTTGGTATCATAGCCGAAGTCAGGCTGGTATCATAACCAAACCTCTGGTAAAGGCAGGCAGTTGGATCATATTGTTGGAAATTTCGGTAGGCTTCTTTTGACTCCCTGTATTACACCTGTAATTGTATGTTACACCTGTAACATATTAATCAGTCACTTTTTTTTAAAAGCTTTTTTCTGAAGACTGAAATTGTTGCCTGTGGGGACAGTCTCTGTATAGGTTCCATGCCCTTCATATACACTTTGGGCTCCTTGCCTCCCACTAGGCTCCATGTCCTTCATTAGGCTCCATGCCCTTTCCAGACTATGGGCTCCTTGCCCCTCACTCACTCTGGGCTCATTTCCCCACCCTGGACCTCCTTGGTCCCGACAACTTCCTTGCTGCGTTACCCACCAGGTTGTGGGGGCTGGGGCTATAAGGAGCCCCATACTCACCTTTCAGTAGGGAGCCAAGTAGTGTGGCATTTCCTGGGGACCACCCCACCACAGACATCCCCACCACACCATCCTACCCTAGGAGGGTGTCGTTTTACATCATGCCTCAGGACCAGGAACCTCTTCCATCCCCATAGTTCCCACCCTGTACCTCCGAGCACGTTATGTAAGCAGCAGCTTCAACTGGGTGATGTTCTTTCTCCGGCTGCTCACAGCAAAACTGCTGGACGCACTACTCAGGGCCTATTCTTATATCAGGCAGCTGGTCCCACCTCTGAATCTGACAACCTCCTGCTGGCCATGTTATTCCTGACTGGGAGTGCAGCTACCCACAAGCTGCTCTGCTGCTTGTTCTGATCCTTAAAGTGGCAGGCACCAAAGGTGCCCCACCGGAGTAGGGAAGAGTCTTTCTCAGGTATGAAGCTGATAGGCTTGCCATAAATCTGAGTTTTCACAGACACATCCTCTTTTTTGGCTCCCTATCCTCCTGTCTGGGTGGGTTTTTAAAATGTGAGCACATGTCTGGGCTTTTGCTCTGACTGACTTTTTTCCCAGGCACTTCCAGCATGGTTGCTTGGGGTTGGGAAAAGTGAGGCAAGGTGACTGGCTGTCGGGGGATCCCATGCTTTGTGTGTGGGCCCCAGCAGATAAGAGAGAGAGTCACACACAGACACATACAGATGCAGAGAGATTATGTGTGTGCATGGATACCTATGTGCATACAAAGGACTGAGGGTTGAGGATGAGTGGCCCTAGCAGGGCTGGGGGTGGGGAGTGGGTCCTGTGTCTTAGGAGTGAGGGGCAGAGGCAGGGCATAGGCATACCATTCCCCCCACCCCATAATCATATACTCCTTTCCTCTCTTTTTCCCTTGCCCCTTCCTCCACCCACCCCTTCCTCCCTGCCCCCTCCTTGCTGCCTCCCCCCCACCCCGGTGTCCTCTTTTTTGGTACTGGAACTATAGTAACCCTAAAAGCACATCCTATATTTCAAATACGTC